CCTCCCCCACTTTGTTCCGTGCTCAGGTTTTAAAGGTGCCCCCCAGGCGCAGGGCTGCACCGCAACGCAGCGCACGAAGCCCCGGGCCGCCCCGAGGCGCTCGGCAGAGCCCCGCGCTCCCCACGCGGCTCCCGTGCGTTCCCCACGCGGCTTCCGCGCTCCCCACAAGGCTCCCGGGAGCTGCTGCAGGACCCCGGCACCCCTCGCTCGCAGACCCTCGTTCTCCTTCCCCTCCGCGCCGCGCTGAGCAGAGCGCGGGACCAGGCGCCACAAACTTCCCGTCTCCCACTACTTCTCCCGTTGCCCGCTCAGCTTTATCCCTCCCTCCACCGGCTGCTGGGAAAGGTCGCCTCGCGGGGAGCACCGAGCAGGTTCCTCTCCGCGTCCCTGGGAAAACGGGGCGAGCGCTACCGCTTGCCTTGCAGTCACCACACGTATAGAGCGTCCCGTGCATTCGGGACAAGGCGTTAACACCAAGTGCTTACGGCGTCAAAACGCGTCTCGCGTGCGGGAAACGCAGCCCGGGCGGGTGGGCGCCGCGCGCGACGTGTGCGCGTTTGGTGCCGCTGCCCCCGCTCGTTTGCCAGCTACTCCCTTCCCACCCTCCGTCCTCGCGGAGCCTGGGAAAGCGGCTCCTGTTTAGGTTCTGTCTGCGTCTAAGGCAGGACATTTTAACAGAAATTTCAACGGAGCTGGTGCAAAAAATGTTTTGACTGGCGTCTTTTTGACAAGGTCATCCGTCATCTGCTGTATAGATTGATAACACCTTAGCCAAAGGCAAACACACGTAGGAAAAAAAAAAAAAAAGATTTTTACGGCTTATAAAGCCAGCCTATAAAAACCTTCTTAATGTCTTTGATCAATTCCAGCGTGTCAGATATAATGAATTTTCAGTCCTCGCGCTCTACTAATCTACTTTTGGAAGTTGTGAAACGTTCCGACTTTAGCTGCGGGACGGAGCTGCTGTCCTCGACAGCATGTGTATGAAATGCCGAGGGATATACAGCTATACCGAGCTGCACATGGGAATCAAGGTTTACGCTTTCCCCGTTTTCACTGCATTAATTCAATATTTTATCCTTCCCTAGTTCTTCCCCTGGTCACGCTTCTATTGCAGCGCCTCGTTTGCTATTATTTTCACTTTTTAGTTTTTGTTCTGAACCTATGAATTATAACCGTTTTCGCCACCGGACATCTTTTAAAAATACCAATTTGCTTTTAGTGGCAGCAGGCTCTAAAAATTCGTTTCACGATGGAAAAAAAAATCGTGATGAAGTGGGGGAAAGCTTCCAGCTAATGGGCTTAAGTGCATTGTCAATATCCGCATTTGCCTGGAGTTGCTAACAGAAATATTCCATGCGGGTTCATATTAGGCGGGATTTAATCTGCAACAGCAAATAAACAAAACAAACAAACAAATAAAAGGGTCACTTGGGATTTTCCTTTCCCTTCCCAGTGCAGCGAGCGGAGCAGCGCGCGGGCGGCGGGGCCGGAGCCCCCGGGCCGCCCCTCGGCTTTGGCTTTGCCCCGTAGCGCCCCTTAATTGTTAATATCCCCCGCCCCGATGAGGCTGCGCTGGGTCGAGATGCAGAAAATGAGAGTTTTTCTTCTTCTTGCTGCTTTTTTCTTTCTTTCATTATTTAGAGGACGGGCGCTGAAACAAATCACACTGACCGTTTAGAAAGCGATCAAACCTTTATAGAAATCCATCGCCTCCGAATCGATTGGCGAAAATTTGCTAGGAATTTGCTCAAAAGAAATAAATAAGGAGGGTAAGTGTATTAAATGCAAAGGGGGAACACGGTGGTGTTTTTCTTCATTGATTAATGACCTCTAAAATAAAACAAGCGGGAAGAGGAGCCAAGATCGATAAATTAACTACCCAAATTCATCATTTTCCCTGGGATTTCTTCTTTCTTTTTTTTTTTTTTTGAATAGTCTTTAGGAAGGATGTCTCTCTCTTTGGGAACCTGCGGGTTTCATTTTGGATTTTGGGCTGGGAGCAGGAGAGGGAGCAAAGCCCTCTAGGGCAGGGATTGGATCGGGGGCACCCTATCTGATTTCGTTTGACACACAATTAAAAAGTTTGCCTTTCATATTAATGAATTCTCCTGATCTGGGGAAGACGAATGGCCGGTCCCATCTGACAGGAGTCCGATAAAGGATGCAGCAGCTTTCCTTCTTGCCCTAGGCGTCCCTCATCCCCGTTTTAAGGTCACGAGCAGCCGAGTTAATAATTCATTAACACAGACGCTTATTCAGATGGGACTCGCGCTGCGCAAGGTTTCGGAGCCGGGAAGGGGCCGTCCCGGCGGCACCGGC